AGTGATGTTAGGCTCATTATTCTGCAGATTAATATGGCAAATGCTAGTAGCAACTAGGCTCAATAAATCTCAGTTGCAGATAATTAAAGAAATCATAAGAAGTCGAGCAAGGTTACCACAGTGGTTGTGCCCTCCTCCTTCCCTCATGCTTGGCACCCAGAATCATATATTTCTTTCTTTCAATGTAACCAAAAAAAATAAAAGGAAAAATAAAATTGTGAAATGATAGAAAGTATGATGCAATTTAGAGAGATTTCAAATGCTAGAAGAAGTGGACTTATCACCACCAAAGGTATGGAAAGCATATCATAGAATGATTAAACTTCACTGCCTGACTGGGGAATGTCACTGAGATTTCAAATACCCCTTTTTTAATTTTTCCTAGTAATTTTATGTGCTTCCTTCATCTCTCTGGCCACACTTGGGACTTGGCCCCATAAAATAATATCTGAAACCAACGTGTGGCCAACACCTCTCTTGTACCTGTAAGAAGTAATAATCTGAGATTAATTAAACCTCCTCAATAAGCATAATTAAGTAGATTAACGGGTCAAAGTCAACCTTTTCAGGGTTGGGGAGATTGTATTTTCTGCACCACAACAAACTGTTTGAAGGCAGAATGATGAAAGGGGAAGAGCTTTTTAAATGCATATTAATAATCACAATGTATTCAACGTTAAGCATTTGCACGGATCCATCAAACCCGTCATAATTATTTTACTTTAAACTGACTCTTGCATTCTTTTTCATCTTTTTATTGGGTATGTGAATGTGATGGTAGATATTAATGGAAAAAAGCAAAGAAGATGAAAATAAAAAGGTCATGTTGGTACTTGTTTTGCATGATGGTGGTTTTACGCACACTCTTGGAAGTCTTTTTTCTTTCCTTCTTTTTATTGGGTATGTCAATTGGTTACTGAAAATATACATTTTAAAAAGAATTTAATTGAGTTGTTATGATCAATCGCCTATACTTACAAATTTGATTTCTGATCGTGGATGCATGTAAAAATAGAATTAACATGCATTAGCGGCGAGAAATCGAGGGCACGCTTACGCCCAAAGTTAAGCCTCGACCTGCTTGTTGATCGTGCTTTGCAGGCATTATTAGCCCATACCACTCATAAAAATGGGGTGGGCATTGCGAAACGACAAGTCGTTGATCGAACGTATAAAAATGACCCATTGGGCTGGCCTGTATTGTACGCCCAATTCAACATTTATCCATTTTGTCCCGTTGCCAATCAATCAGCGGGCCCAACTGAAGCTTCGGAGAAAGTGGCACCACACACACTGTCGTGACTCGTAAGCGACAAAACGCTCGTGTGAATCCAAATCTATCAGTCTCCAATCTCCGCGATCAAAATTTCCCAAATCTGTGAGAGGCTGAACCCAATCGCTAATCGGAAAACCAAAAGCAAAGAAAATGGCGTCATCCACGTTCAGCGGTGACGAAACGGCTCCGTTCTTCGGCTTCCTCGGAGCGGCGGCCGCCCTAGTTTTCTCCTGTAAGTGAAACCCCCGACTTTCCCTCCAATTTGCACATTTCATTTCTGCGTGAAAATTGAATGACTTGAGGGGCTTTTTGGTCAATTCAGGTATGGGAGCGGCGTACGGGACGGCGAAGAGCGGGGTGGGCGTGGCGTCGATGGGGGTAATGAGGCCGGAGCTGGTCATGAAATCGATTGTTCCGGTGGTTATGGCGGGAGTGTTGGGTATCTATGGTTTGATCATTGCTGTGATTATCAGCACTGGGATTAACCCAAAGGCCAAATCTTATTACCTTTTCGATGGCTATGCCCACCTCTCCTCCGGCCTCGCTTGCGGCCTCGCTGGACTTTCTGCCGGAATGGCCATCGGAATCGTCGGCGATGCCGGTGTTAGGTAATTTGGTTTTCCCTCCATTTCTGGTTTTTGTTTAAGTTTTGTATGGATGAAGCTGTGTTTTTTTTGTGCGTTGGAAGAGAATTTTGTTTTGTCTGAGTAATTGGGTATTCGAATAACTTGTTGGCATTGTTATGGGTTTTGATTAAGGATTTAGACAGGCAGAAATATGTGGAATTTTTTAGGCAATGTGAAGAGAACTGACCTATAAATGAAATTTAGTCTACAATGTTTATCGGGTTTTGATACAATTGGATTGGATGAGTTTATTAATGGGAAAGAAATGTGATCACCCTTCTTAATGTTTCTTAGTGACTCTTACAGAAGAAAGACAAAATCTTTTCCATGTTGGTAGAGTGATAATCCCTAGTCGTCTTGTGTTTGCTGCCATGAATGTTGTTCCACCAAGTTTTTAATTGGATGTTCCCCGAAGGGTTTTCAAGATTTATTCTCCCGATTTTAGGTGCCGTGTTTTTTTTTGGTTCATGGCTACCTGCAGGCAGTACATTTGGATTGCTCCTTGTTTTCTTCTTGTGCAATTGATCTATTTCTTTTCTGTGATAGAATGTTTAGTTTGTTCCTGATGTAATGGGTTTATTCTGCAGGGCGAATGCACAACAGCCAAAGCTTTTTGTTGGAATGATTCTCATTCTCATCTTTGCTGAAGCTTTGGCTTTGTACGGTCTCATTGTCGGCATCATCCTTTCATCCCGATCCGGACAATCCAGAGCAGATTAGAGATAGCATTGCTGCCAGCTTCGAATGTGAATGTTGTTGGCATCTCGGGTACTCACAGGTTGGTGATGCTCATTCGCAGTGTGCAGTGTTGTGTCAAGTTATTGGTCTTGCATAGGAAGATCCTTTTTCAGATTGTAGAATTTGAAGTGAATTGTCTTTGAAATAAAGCTTTTTGAGCTGGTTGTTCACCTGCTCCTTTTTCTACATATTAGTTTGACATAATGGAGAAATCATCATTCTGGAATATTCCACTCCACAGAATTTGTTTTATGTTTCTGATCATCATATTCGATGGTATTACTATCATGTGATAGATTATTGTACTGGGAAATGCATAATACATTGATGACCTCTAAAAACATAATCTTACTTGTACTAAACCGCTGAACCTGAACTCTCACCTCAGAACCAAGATAAGTCCCGCCCTCCACGGAGGGCCTCCGACTCAGCAAAACACCTTGTTAAAATAAAAAGGCCGTGAAATCATCGAGGCCTTCCTTCGATTAGTTTAAACTAAAGACTGCAACAAGCCACCGTCCCTGAACAACCACAAAAGAGCAGTTTGTGCTAACGTTCCGCATGGAACACAAAGACAAAAGTGATGGACTCTTACTTGTCCCGTGTGTTCGCTGAGGCCAATACAATTGGAGAAGAGAAAAAGGTTGAGAAAATGATCATAGAGGATTAGGATAGGTTTGTGAGGAAAAGGGAGTTTTATTAGGTGGGCAAGGTTTGGAAAAGAGGCTACTTATTGTATGGCCCTCCTGGCACTGGCAAACAAATCTAGCTTCATTGCGGCCATGGCTGAGATAAGGAGCTTTCTGGTATTATTCACCATGACTCAGAATGGAAAAACAACATTCAAGTTTTTTTTCTCTTCTTCGTTTAAATAAAAACAGAGCTTCAATTCAAGAGTCATTTTATAGTGAGGGCCTTATATATAGCCCTTAGGTGAGGTCATATCTCTTAACTGTTAGATCAGGTTACCTAATTTGATCAACGGTTAAGAGATAGAGCCTCACCTAAGGGTATTCTTGCAAGTTCAGTTTGATCGAATCTGTTTTGGGTCGGAATTGGACCCAGCAATCTCTCTTGCTTGGGCTCTCTCTCTTAACCCACATGATGTTGGGTTTTGTTTTTTTCTTACATATCCAAAGTTGAACAGAGTTATAGGCTTAAGCATAATTTGTAGGTCTTACTATGTTTTGTCTAGCCTGCCAATTTCCATCCTGAGTCCTTCACCTAGCCATTCTCAAGAGTTTTTTTCTTTTCGCCCTTTTTTTTTGGGTGATGCCATTTATAAGCGTTGACTTAACATATTTCCATTGACCATAAGAATTAAAAAAAACGTATTTTCTACATCGAATGACAGAGACCAACGTTTCGGAAAATATTTATTAAACAACTTATCGTGCTGTGTGTTTTAACCAAAGGAAATCAGAAGCAACGTAAAATTAAAATAATTTTTTTGAAAAAACAGCAGAGATATATTCAAAAGAGGAAGATCCATAGCTTAACGGTCACTGCGTTTTGCCCAGTTCCCAGTGTCGCTGAACATATATTTTATTTCCACACTCAACCATTCGTTCAACTCTTGTATTTATTTAGTATTTAGTTATTTTATTTATTTATATGTTTGGGTATTCCAAGGCGAATCTTCTGGTTGTTGTCTCTTCTCTTGTGCCTCTAATATTACAAAAATATTTATGCTATATAAAATTCATTTTCGCTCATTTTGGAGCCAAATTTCAAGTTTGGTAGCATCAAACCACGAATGCAAATTAGATGACGAATGAGACACGCTACTACTACGATTCAATTCAATCAATTAAATACCAACGACAACAACAACAAAAAAGTCACGAGTCACGACCCACAAAAAGTTCAAGTACTAGAAAGAGTTATTGAGTCCTGATCCAGTGGGACCTGAACTCAACGTCCTTGTCTGCACTCTCCACTCCAGTCCACTGCCATGAACAAACCAGCGCCAGCAGATTACCCCACGTGGCAGCCCAACAGATCGAAATCACGTTGAATCTGTGCTCAACTGGGTTCACAAAACCAATGCCAGGGTGTATATATGCACCTCTCCGACCCCACAACCTTAACGGCTACATATTCACGAGCCCACGTGGCCCCGCCCTAAACCCAAATAAACAGTTCCTTTCGTCGCTTGGTGTTTGGCGGGAAACAGAACGGTGGGCCCTGTCTTTTTCACTGGTTCTTTTGGCTTTTTAATTAATTAACTGCGCCTGTCCATTTCGTTGACTGAAAATCTTGGATTTTACTCAAATACGCCGGCGGACCCCACAGTCCCGGCTCGGCCGGCGTAGACGAGCGTGCTAAAAGGGCAAAAGCGTAAAATAGACAAGCCAAACAAGGAAAAAAAGTCCAAAACTTCAGCTACGTACGGTAGACTACAGTTAAAGAAACATTTAAAAAAAAAATTAAAAGAAATTAAAAAAAGAAAAAAGAAAAGGTCAAAGTTTGTTGGGCTTCTGATTACGCCGGAGACGGTTGAGACGTCGGGTCAGCGGAGGAGGGGATATCGGGTCCGACCCGGCAGCCTTCGAGCATGAAAACGATATCGGACATGGTGGGTCGGTCAAGCGGGTCGGGTGCTGTGCAGAGCAACCCAACTTTCACTCCAAGCAAGAACTCTTCCCACTCCGTTGACTCAGGGTCAAGCTCAAGCAAACCCGGCTCCAGCAACTCTGTGATTTGGCCTTTTTGGAGCTGCTTCTTCACCCATTTCACTATGTCTTCGTCTTGGGTAAACATCACCGGCCTCTTCCCTGTCAAGAGCTCAAGCAAAACGATCCCGTAGCTGTAAACATCTGATTCTTTTGTGACTGCTCCTGTTAGAACTGCTTCTGGAGACACATAGCCTAATGTCCCAACTGTGGTTGAGCTTGAGGCCTCAGCTGGGGTTGCCAATGTGAGTTTGTCTAGCCCGAAATCGGACAGATGGGCTTCGAAATCGGCGTCAAAGAGCACGCTTTGGGGCTTCACATCGCCGTGAACCACTGCGGAACTGTGTAAGAAGGCCAAGCCACGAGCAATTCCAAGTGCAATGAGGTGGCGCATTGGCCAATTGAGGACATGGCCATCTTGGTGTGATGCTTCTTGCAAAAGAGTAGCGAGATTTCCGTTGGGCATGTAGTCATAGACAAGAAGCCTCATGTCTGGTGGCCCGGCGTAGTAGCCTCGAAGAACTGTTAAGTTCCGGTGCTTCACTCTGCCCAGTGCTTCAGCTTCTTTTCTGAACAAGTTTTCATTGAGTGCTCCATCTGGGAAGCGGCGGACCGATAACACCATACCATCAGCATAACAAGCCTTGAAGACCAACCCATATCTTGTTCTGCTGAGCACATTTTCTTCGTCGAATTGTCTGGTAGCTTCAATTGTCTCTGCCAGTGTGATTTTGTTGTTGAACATAACGAGCTTTGGCCCTCCACTATCAGAGCTTCCACGGCCCCCACTGGCCCCTGAGCTTGCCCTCGCTGGACTCCTGTTCTTCTCTCCAGATGCCCTTTGTTTGAGCTTTTTGCGCCACCTGAAGAGGCTGAAGATGTAGAAGCAGCAACACAGAGCTAATAGGCAAGCTCCACTTGCAATAATAACAATCATTAGAATCAGCCTCTTCTTGTTGTCACTCTTGGTGCCTACATCCTCACATTTCCGATCCAATGGCCGCCCGCATAGGTTTTTATTTCCTCCAAATGCTGATGGATTGTTGATCCGAGAACCAAGCAATTCCGGGATCTTACCATCGAGGTTATTCATGGAGACATTGAAGTTCACAAGGCCAGGAATTAACGTAAGATTAGAAGGAATTTCCCCACTCAAGTTGTTGTTCGAAAGATCCAGAGTAGTTAGGTTTGATAGCTCAGACAATGAGACTGGTATGCCACCTGAAAGATGATTGGACTCCAGTAACAAAGCAGTTAGTGATGAACATTTGGAAATTTCTTCTGGGATTTCACCTGTTAAGTTGTTGTTTCCCAAATCAAGCTCCTTCAACAATGAGAGGTGAGAAAGATCAGCTGGAATGCTGCCTGTCAAAGAGTTTGATTGCAGCTCTACGACTTGAAGATCCGAGCAGTTTCCAAGCTCTGGTGGAATCACACCCGAAATGTGGTTGTCAGCCAATGACAGAACAACCAATGACCGAAGAAAACCATAATTCTCCGGAATATGACCAGAAAATGCGTTGGAACTGAGGTTCAAATAATGCAGGCCCATCAAACTACTAAAGCCCTCAGGAACATCTCCAGACAAACTGTTCTCTTGCAATGCAATAACTTGCAGATTGGGTAACCCAGAAAGCTCAAAAGGTAGCTCACCAGAGAAGTTCTGTTTGCTCAAATCAATAGTTGTAAGCCTGAAAAGACCGGCCAAGCTGCTAGGAACCCTCCCAGAAAAGCCATTACCACTTAGATTCAGAACCATTAGCTGACTCAAATTCCCAATAGTGATGCCAACTTCACCAGAAAACTTGTTCCTACTGAGGTCCAATGTGGTCAAATTGCTCAACCCCATAAGCACCTCCTCAGGCAAAGTTCCAGTCAACTGGTTCCCTCTCAAGCTCAAAGTCTCCAGCCCCAAAAGGTTGGGAAAATTTGCAGGAATTGAACCCAAGAACTGATTTTCCCCCAGGGACAGCACCTTCAAACCTCTCAAATCACCCAAAAACACAGGAATTTCACCCGAAAATCGATTCCCTTGGAGATCAAGCACGCGCAGTAAGCTACATTGCTTAATCTCTGCAGGAATCGGACCGCTAAATGAATTATTAGCCATTTTAAGCTCCTCTAATCTGGTTAAGTTTCCAATCTCTGGCGGCACCACACCAGAAAATGAGTTACTTGAAACATCAAGAATTGTCAAGTTTGATACCTGTGTTAACCACCAAGGAAAATCGCCGCCAATCTGATTGTGTTGAAGATCCAAAACTTGCAGAGCACTAAAACAACTCGCTGTCTCGGGCTTCACGATATCCGTGAACGCATTAAACCCCAGCTGGACGATTCGAAGCGACGGCGTAAAAACCGAAACGTTGCAGAACATTGAGTACGGGACAGTACCAGAAAGAGTATTCTGTGAAAGCGCGAGCACTTGAAGCTTCGGTAGAGCTCCGATCGCCGCCGGTATCACGCCGCCGAGCGCATTGCCTTCAACACTCAAATGCACGAGCGCCAAGCAATTGGCGAGCGCCGAAGGCAGTGGTCCTGATAAGAGGTTGTAGTCGAGCCAGAGGAACTCGAGCTCTTGGAGCTCGCCAAAGCTCGCCGGAACCTGACCGGAGAACTGGTTGTACGAGAGGTTGATGAGCTGAAGGCCAGTCAGGTTGACGATGCTCTTCGGAATCTCGCCGGAGAATGAGTTTGAGGAGAGATCGAGGTACTTGAGCCTCGGAGGCAGCTCACCGGAGATTTCGCCGGAGAGGTGGTTACTGGCGACGTTGAAAATCTGGAGATTGCTCAGGTTTCCGATCTCCGCAGGGAGCTTGCCGGAGAGTGAGTTGTTCTGCAAGAAGACGGAGCGTAGGAGCGTACATTGGGAAAGCGAAGACGGAACGGTGCCGTTGAAGGAGTTGGACCGGAGGCTCAGCTTGCGCAACATGCGCAGGTTACCAAGGCGGTCACTGAGTCGGCCACCGAGTTCGAGACGAGGCAGGCGGAGCTCGCTGACTCGGTTATCAGTACAATCGACTCCCCGCCAGTCGCAAGGAGCCGACGGCGTGGTTGAATCCCAGCCGTTCAATGCGCCAAGTGGATCGTGGAGGTTGAGCTTGAAGGACGTCAAGGCCTCGATCTCGGCTAGAGTTTCGGCGCTGCGCTGGGCGCAGGATAAGAAGGGGGGTGAGCATAGTACAACGAGGAAAAAGAGAAGCGCAGTCCCGGCCATAAAGTGGCGGTTTTTTTATTATTTTTTTTCTGCGGAAATGAATGAAACGGGTTTCGGTTTCGTATTTTAGTTCATGAGAGGGGGTGGGTTGAGGATAAGGAAGTGCGCAGTGGGTGCGTAAATTAGCAGAGGCCTGCCGGTAGCGACTGAGAGAGGTGTCGCCATATGTTGGGCCACTGCAAGTATCTTTCGGTCAGAGTGTGTGAGAGTGAGAGAATGTTGATGTTGAAATTGAAATTTTGAAGGGGGGGGCTTGGCCTGTGGTTGTGCTCTTAAAAGCGCTTTTTAAAGAAGCACTTTGAATAAGTGGTTTGGTGAGGCGTGGTGGGGAATGGGGTGGGGGGGTATCACTTTTCAACCTCATATGACATGATGTTGGTTTAATCATTGAGCCCTTGTGTAGTGTGTTTGATGTTATATATATTTGTATGTTTGCCTTTTGTTTGTTTATTTTATTTTGGGGTATGTGGAAAAAAATAGTATGGACAAATTTAAATGTGGGTCCAATTAAAACTTAAATGTCCCTACCATTGATTTGGGGCTAGGGTTTTGAGTTTGTTGGCTAAGACCCCTTTATGCTTTTCCCCCCTTGTTTGACAATTTTTCCCTCTTAACCCCACCCTAGTAACTTGTAGCTTTTTAGCAAGGAAACTCCAACTTTGTGACTGGCAATGTGGTTCTCTTTTGAAGCATGTTCTTTGATTGAATGGTCAAGACCCAAAACGTCAAGGTGAATTGTAAAAGAGATTGTGAAGTGGATTTATCATGGAATGTATCTTATTTTATTAGCCTTCCTTTGGTTGGCTTGGAGTGATATGGGAAAGTACATAAAGGTTGAAGCTTGTATGAGCAAAGTGGAAGGTCAATCGGCTGAAGGGACCACCCACAAAATCAGCTATAGTTGGCAGCACTTTTTGAATAATCTTAAAAGCATTCGGTCTTGGGTCTTGGATATGCAATTGGCACTAATGTAGGAAGCTTAATTGGTTCATTCTTCGAGTTTACGTCCAATATAATAGGACAAGTTAAAAAAGTGTGAGACTTCTAATCAAAAGTGTGAGATGTGTCTTTAATATAATACGACAACTTCTAATAATGAACGCGAGATACGTTCAACATAATATCGCAACCGCTTCTAGTAATAATGAACGTGAGATATACCCAACATAATACAACAACTTCTAATAATAAACATAATATGCGTCTTGACATAATACAACAACTTCTAATAATGAACGAAATAAGCATAATACGACATCTTCTAATAATGAACTTGAAATGCGCCAAGATAACATAGGGAGTGAATGGATCAATTACATATCCACTATGTAGTTGAACCCCACATTTTTTACTAGATTTTGACGTATTATATAGAATGCAATTTCGGTCATATTTGTCTCGTGATTCAAACACTTTTCCCGTCCATCAGTTGATCCGGCAAACGTGTATCCAGTCAACACATAATTACCAGTAAAAGCATTCATCCTGGATTGGATTCTCTTCCTCGATCAAAATGTCCATCAACTCATCATCCCTATCCAATCTGTCAAAATCTCACCTTTTGCTAAGGGAGGTGCACCATGGTGATATAATAGGCATCGAGTCCTAAAAATGGAATGACAGATTTGAACAATTTGGTGTTATTTGAGCTCTAAACTCACAACTTTAAAATGGCCAAGCATTAAGCCAACTAAAAAGGGTCCCTTTCTATTAGGGAAATAATTAGCTTCAATGACATATCATAACTTTATCATGTAAACTTTCTTGTTGTTTTCATGGTGTCAAGTCTGTGGTAGACCCACGATAATGTATTTTTTCTTCTTCTTTTCCTCTCAGTTGTTAAATCCACTGGGATCCTTGGTTTGCCGAGGTGGGTTAATATTAAAGCTAGTTGAATGCAACAGATAGAGACTATATATTGGGCATGTAGGGCTGTCATAAAAGTGTCCTGAATCGATGCCTGACCCAACCCAACCCAATCCAATCCAATCCAAGGCATCATCTGAATGAAAATAATTAATGTCGAGTCAGTGGGATGATATGCGAGTAGGGACTTCACCTTTTATGTGAATATATTGATGGACACAATGAATGCCAGTAGTTGCAAAATTTTGATCAATTTTCTTGTAGTTCAAAATTTGGGGTCCAACTTTGCGCTTGATGAGATTCCTAGATGGGTTGCGGCGATCTTTAATGATGATTTGTTAAGAGTTCCTATAATTCGTACTGTTTCTGTCATTTAGTTTTTGTGTGTTTAGGGATCCCTCATTTTGAAATACAGTTTTAAATATGAAAAGTCAAATATTAAGTCATAATTGACAGCAGAAAGAAGCAGGCACAGATTGTGTTTGCCATCTTGTTATAGAAGACAAACGAATAAATAGCATTTGAAAATGGTAAGGAGTAGCGTGTGTCAATAAAGTATGTAATGTTCATGTTTACAAGGACAGAAGCGAAAGAATCAAGATTGAATTGGTAAAATTAGAAAAGAAAGAAAAAAAAACCCGTATATAACACCCTTTATATAGTTACATTACATCTCTCCACATGATTATTGGTAAGGTACTAATTACTTTACAATAAACTAGGGAAGCCTAGCCTGAGCAAATTTACACTCTTTCTTGCAGTCAATTACAATCAGAACTTTAACAGGGGGAAAAAAATTATACAATCAGAACAGCTGATCAAAAAAATAAAAACAAAAAATACAATCAGAAGAGAAAATATCAAATGGGATATTTGTCAAGGAATCATTATTCTATAGGTGATTGGAATTGAACAAAATGAAACTTCTAACACGGTGATCGCACAAGCTCTTACACAAGAGCCTTGAAACTTTCTGTCCAGAAGTGAGATTTCGGCCTCGCGTCTCGGGGTGCAAATCTGAGTCCAAACATCTCCTTGAATGCTTGCTCAGGCTCTACCGTGCTCACAAGCTTTGCAACAATGGTGGCACTATCCATGATATGGTCCAAGTTCTTTGTGTCACTCCACAGAAGGTTTGCCAATTGCAGCCTCCTATTCTTTGAATGTAGCCCAATACCCCACTTTAGGTAGAGGTTATTTCTTTCGTCTGCAGAGAGCCGCCTCCGCATTTGCTTGGTCAGCATGTGTCTCTCACTAGACAAAGCCTTCGAGCTATTTATAGAATCAAACATGTTTAAGTTCAGACAATGCACATACAAGATAAGTTCCAAATAAATCTGAAGCCTTCTAATCTAGATCAGATGTGGTAAAATACCTTGAAGCGGGTGTTATAGTTTGACCATCTTCCAAAGTTTGATTGCCCCGAGCAAATGTGTCTTTGAGGAAGGACAATCTCCTGTGCTCAACCTCCATGTAAATAGAATCACTCGGATCACCTTTAAAAAGGAGGAAGAAGTAAGTCCTGTGAACCAATGACACGTTGCAGGCATTCCAAAGTTCAATTATCTCTCTTTGGAGCCTGTTGAATTCAGAAGGCCACATTGAAGGGCTTTCCTCATCACTATGAATTGGGTCCAAGCCAACATCTTTTACATCCCTTGCAGATGGTACGGGCTTTAAATCCATCTCTGGTACCTGTCATACGAGAAAATCTTTGTTAGAAATATAATTAGTTTCTACAACTTCTCTTCTTTATGTCTCAACGGCTACATTTGAAGAAAAAAGGAATAACTGGTTGTACATCTTACTAAAACCCCTATAATTCCTGCTAGAATTGTGCATAAAGAAGATATTGCATAATTTTCTGTTTAGTTTTAACAGTGTGAAACAAAGTGAAGGGTCTTGCTAAATTGCCCTTCCTTTTTACTTCTTTCAACTGAATGTCCATCTTAATAGTGGCCCTTTTCTTCTCTTCATCTATGTGCCAATAAGACGACTGGCTTATTCTAAAGAAGTGATGATAAAATAAAAAACTCACCGTACGATCAGCAAGTTGAGTATTGCATTGGGTATCAGTCATTTCCTCTGTTCCTTCAGCTAAAGTACTGCATTCAGTACTCTTGTCATCAGTTGTGAATGTGGTATTTTGTGCTTTACACTCATCAACAGTAGCACTTCTTGCAGAAGCCTGAGAGCCATTTCTTGATAGCCTCTCATTCTCGCCTCCATAGTTCAATGAAGGAAATTTCTTTAGGACACCCTCAGGCCTTCCTGTAAAACTTTTCTCAAAATCAATTGGAGGAGGTGTGCTCTCATTCTTCTCTACCATCATCTCAAACCAACATGAAGACCAACTGTTCATAAGACGTGCTCTACAACTTCTAGTCCTCCTTAACTTCAAGAATGAGGGGCTAAACATATCCTTCTCTGACAGCCACTGAGATGTCTGCTCGGAAGATGGAATTAGAAAACCTTTTTGGTTCAATAGGGGTGACTCCAATTCTTGATTTGTGCCATCTCCGTTCTCAACCATTGTCAATCCTGAGGTAGCTGTGTTTGCCATCGGAGACGACATATTTGAGTTTTGGTATCTGCTTGCGCTTGAATCTGATATATTTGACACTATATATCTGTTTGTGCCTGACTCTTCCATTTCAATGCAGCGTACTTCCTTGCAAAGATCCTCCGAATTTCCATCGGATCGTTCTTTGCTCTCCTCCTGATGCAGATTGCCATCAACAAAATTAGGAATGCCAACTGACAACTGCCGAGAGGAGTCAGTGTGCAGGAAATTCTCTTCCAAGTCAGCAAGTTGGAATAAAGTCTCATCAGAACTACTCCTACTGTCTCCATCTGAATACTGAGATGTGCCAAAAGATCTAACACTGTTGGCTCGGCCGTGAGAAACAGGTTGAACAGGTGCCCCTGATGTTTGAATTTCAATGTCCCATGCATTTCGCACTCTCAATTTGGGGTAATAACGATCCAGATCCTCCTACAGTAACATGAAAATAAATTGAACTTAGTACAGGCAGGGGAAATTGAAGTGAAACTGGATTCTTCAATTTATGTTAGTACACATACTGCTGATGGTTTATCATCTCCAAGAACTCGCACCAGATCCTTAACCTGAGACTGAGCAAGGTCTCGTTGCTGAGTCAGCTCGGATACCTCTTTCTTGAGCTACACAATGAATAAACAAAACCAAAAGGTTTTTTAGACAAGAAAAGGATGCTGCATGAAACATGAACATGAAATACTGTGCTCTGTCCTCTTACATATGAGAACCATGGAGAACAAAGAAAAAACAAAGAAAAGATATTTCCAAGGTAAGCACAATGAAGATTTTCAGAGACTGCCACTTGAGACAACTCGAGAATCATGAGACAGAATTAAAAGTAATTAACATGGAGAAACCTGCTTGATCAAATTATGAAAAGACCAGAAAGAAAATATTTGAA